AACATATTCTGCCGGCAGATGTATATATTTTAAGTTAATTATGCGTTAATAAACTGTTTAAGAGGAGTAATCAGAGCACACTGTGTCATCAGCGCTGTGTCTCTCTCCCAGCCAGCTCCCAGATCAGCTTCTCTGATTGGTTGACGCGGCGCATCGAGCAGCAAAAATTCACTTTTTCCATCTCGAGCAGCAACGCGTCACGCGCGTCAGATGCCAAAACGCGCCCGACGCGCTGCTTCAGCTGCTCAGACGCGCTGCGCTTGCTGCTCGAAACGCACGTCAACCATTGACTTTGCATGTAAACTCGCTGCTTCTGTCGCGCCAGCTGCCCCCGGTGTGAACGCAGCATAAGGTAAGGCAAAGATAAAAACTTTAAGTTCATAAGTGATAATAAACAAGATATAAATAATACATTACAATTATGTCAGTAAATCCCTGTAGTTATTACAAACTTACATTTTATATATTTGCTTTTATAAAACAAAATTGTGATGAATTGGTCAGGAATGTATTGTTTTTCTCACATCTACTATCCCTGGTCACATTTAAATACTTATTAAACCTTTTTTTTAAAAAAAAAGGGTTCAATTTTGCTAGGCCCTCAGAGTCACCAGATTTAGTATGATTCCTTAGCCTGCTTTTAAAATCAAACCGAGGATATCCAACTCGTTTCTTTGGTTTTAAAGCAAGATGTTAAGCCGCAGCTACGCATTCAAGTACCGAAAAAGTAGAGTTGTACAAAATATAGCAGAAACAACATCCACCAGCAGAATACCAGGTTGTCTTCTTAGCATGCATTCATATAAAAAAGTTATTTTTAAGTGCCCTTATTAGACTGTGTCTGTCCAACTGTCCTAAAGCATAAATTATGCCAAGATTTAAACAAATGTTATAAGGATACCTGGATTTTTTTTTTTTAGCAAAGAAAGCCATCCAAATAAATAGGGCTGCAGCTAATAATTATTCTGCAAATCGATTTATCAACAGATTATTATTTCAATTAACAATCAGATAACAGATAACTGTTCCTTGAAGAAGACTGTCTTAAGAAATTAAACAAAGTGAAACTTAAACTTTTCCACTTGAGTTCTGGATAGAGCATATAGAGAGACTAAAAAGTTTTGTTGTTTTTTTTTCTTAAATCTCAATTGTATATAAAAATTTTTGTTTTACAATGTGGTATAATTACTGGTTCAGTGTCAGCTAAAGGCATGTTGTAGCTTATAACCAGCCGATTTAAGAATAAACATATTCGATAAACTAATCAGTATGAGTCTAAATAAGTTATCAACCAAAAGCAGTTTATCCTATAATACCACAACACATGAAATCAAGTTGCAATTGCAACGTTTTCTATAAGGTTACCCAAAATAAAAAATGGACATATTAGCAAGGACTGTACTGAAAAGGTTAATTTTCCCCCACTCACTAAAACAATTTCTTGTGAATATACACAAACCAATATTTGATAACACCCCATTTAAAGGTTAAAATAATAATCCAACAGCCGACGATCCGATGCATCGACACGTCAACTCCTTGACCTAATTCTGACTCCTGTGCTGCGGTGGCGCTAAACCTATTTTGACCCCCTACCTCGCTTCCTTTAGCCACTAACCTCTTTCCGCACGCACAAACACACTCGCATAAACAGTAGGCAAGACAGACATGGCGGAGATAGCACACCCCATACCGTTCAAGTCATTTGTGTGGAAGTATTTCGGATTCCGTAAGTGAATGAGTTTTTTTTAAATTTGCTGTTGTTTCTCAAATAAAATGCATAACGATATTTCAGCTTTCATTGATTTATTTCAAAATTAAAACAATTTCTAGCCTGTAAGCTAAAAAAACAAACAAAAAAAACAAACAAACAATCAAATCGAATCGTATCATGGTGAATTCTTGAGTATCGAAAATAACCAAATTGTTTGGTCAGAAAATTGATACTTAATCGAATCGCCATGATGGGTGTGATTTACACCCCTAAACCCATTATGGCCAGATAGTCAGACTAAAACTGATTATAAGCCCTTCAAAAGAATTCACAATTGATCAATATTTGAATGGGCAGAAGTTGTTAATTCTTTGCTTAGTATGATGCAGTCCTGGAAACTCAAGGAGTCTGTGGAAGTGACTGTTTACTGCCCCTTGTTCTTGTCTAGGAGGATGAATTACAGGGATGTCAGTGACTCCATGCAACATTTTTTGGAACATTAAAATGTGCGCAACTGACTAGAATTTTTTTTTTTTAATGTCCGGACTGAAGTTACCACTTTAAAAAGTTTAAACAAGTGCACAACTACAATGTTTCTAATCAAAAGCTACAATTTATTTTTACTAACAAATCAAAAATAGAAAAAATTACATTTACACATTTTGTCAAGCATGTAAAAGTGTTAGAGCTCTACTGTATCAGCTCATATCCCACAAAAATGTTCAATCTAAGCAGTCGAGAACAGTAACCATCATTGTACAATGTCCCCTATCAAATTAAAACGCATAACCAATCTCCCTCATTCCTTTTTTATATTTTTTTCTTAATATCACTACCCAATTTTAAAGACAATACGACCAAATAAATAAACATCTCAGTGAAATCACATTTTCAGTTTGCACATACTGTTCACAGAGTGTACAACATCTCAAATTCCTCCATCTGGTATCTTAAAAAAGAAAACTAAAAAATGATCTGGTTGAGTGCCTGGGAGTTGGACAAGGTGAACCAGAGGGAAGTACAATTTAATTCACAGCCATCTGTTTTTTTATTTACTCACCAGTAATGAGTAAATCACTAAGCTGTTCAAATCACACGGAGAATGACTGATGAAGTCAGAAGGGGGAGTCCAGACTGAGGCTTTTAATAGTCTGACGTTTTTACAGCCCACCGACAATCTAAACTCAAGTCTGCCTCTGCCCCCCCTGCCCCCCAATCTGTCAAACAGGGGTCACCTTAGGCTCGTGGCAAAACCAAGTCAGCCAATACATCAATATTAAGCACATGCATTGACTGTGACTTTATTCTCTGCAAAAACCCAGCAGCCGAGCTCCAAAAAGAAAGTAATTATTGCATTTAATTTACTTATGTCTGATTGAATTTTGAGCAAGATCTATATTATCTTGTTTGTTTAGAATGCAGACATAATGCAGATACTATAATAATAATCTCCTGAAATTAAGACAATATAGAAATCGAAAACATTTCTCAATTTAATAAGTAAACAGATTACTGATAAAAGTATTATCAGTAAGAAAATATTTTAAAACAAGAAATAGGCATGGACTGCTTGCCATGGACTCGAGCATGGACTGAAGCATCGAAATTTCATACATTTGTATGAATTCTCGAACTTGGTCAATGGGCTGAAAAGTTCGACTTAAATTCTTACTTTCTGGTTAATCACACCGTAAGATGGCCAGGTAAATAACCAGCAAATATTCTCATAATGCAAAATAAGAATTATTATAATATAGAACCCCATTCACCATAAAATCGTCTCAATAATGAATGATAAAATTTTAGATTTCTTGTATTGTACCGCTCTAGAATGCACTTATGTGAAATTGTCAAATATCTGCTTTGTTCTAAACAAAGGGAAACCAAGACTTGGTGGCTTTTGTCAACACATGTCTGCATAGCTTTAAAGAGATCTCCATAAATCAGCAGTAGCTCTATCAAATAAAGAATAAAAAACAGATTCTACAGACAAATCGTGTCCAAAAGATGCGCTCAGGTAGAAAAAAAAAAGAAAGAAAAACACCTAAAGCAGACTGCAGTGAAGAAACTCTGCAGCTTACTGTATAAACTGACTGATCTGAGCCCGCAGAGAAATTAGAAAGCCGTAAGTCAAACTCCAAAAACACGCTTGTTGTCATAAATAACAAAGCCGGTAGCCCGGGGGGGACGCAGCGTAGCTTGCAAACATTTCTGTTTACCACCTCATCGGCGGTTTACATGTCTATAAATCGGAGCATGGCAAACAAGCGCTGGCACCGCGCTGCATACCACAAACAGCAAAGAGAAGCCAACAACAAGAATGGTTGAAAAATGATCACACTCAAACAGGCTTAAGACACCATTTTGAAAAATCCACAGATTTCTCGATAACAACCCCGAGATGCCATCTTGCCAATTATCACTAGATTGGCTACCGCTGGAATGGCGATCCAACCCACTCAGAAGCAGTCCACGCAGGAAACGGAGCGAGTCACATAACATTAGCATTAGCCTAGCAAGAAAGCTAAACTGAAAAGACGAGCGCGAGCTCCACCGCTGCATCACCGCATCCATCCGCACACACTGCTCAAAACGCTAATTAGCAACCTAGCTTTGGGGAAATTTAAATTATAATTAAATCCAATAACAACAACTCGTATCGACTGATAACTGTACACAACACAAATAGGCCAACCATGAAGCTTGACCAATAATAACTCAAAGTGAATAACACCAAACGACTTGCTAACTCTTTGATCCCGCTATTTCAGCTAGCCGTTTAGCCTAGCATAGCCTAGCATAGCTCGCTAGCTCCTCGCGGAGGACAATTGAAGGGATACGGGGAAGATAAACTGGGGGGAGAAAAAAAACTTAAAAAGTCTACACAAGAGCTATTCTTCCTATCTACAATAAGCGGTGCACTTAAACTTACCAAAACCAGTCGGTGGAACAAATAAACGATATTTCTTGCGTATTTATCTTTCTCCTGTGGGTCTGCTCTGCTTCGGATCGGTGCCGACTGTCTCTGCTACAGCAACGTTTGGTCGGGGCAGTAGCGCAGGGAAGACAGCTTTCACCCGGAGAGACGGCCACTGTGTGTGGGGGATGGGGATGCACTGCCCGGGAGGGAGGGAGGGAGGGAGGGAGAGAGGAGGACGGGGGAGGGACGGAAAGATGCAGGGATGCAAAGGAGAGAGGAGGGGGCACGACCCAGAGATATAATATAGAGGTGATGGTGTCACAGAATAGACTGATAAAATCATTGTTTGCATTGTAGATGGAAAATAATTCTTAACAATAATAATAATAATAGTCACCTGGTCAAGGCAGTGCCAATAAAAAAAAACATTTTAAATTAAGTTATCAATGTTTTTTTTAATGCGCTGCTACTATGTTACTAATAATTCATATTGATTATTAATTTATTTATTTTTTTCAAATTTTGCCGGAAGGGTTTTTAATCTTTACGCATACAGGGTTCGTTCATAAGTAGCGATGGTTAAGGTGATGAAATGAAAATGCAACATTATCAGAAGTGTAGTAGTTTAAACTCACTTTTTTTTTTCACCATACACTATAGAAGTCCACACTTTCCCCCAGGCATGAGCAACAGCGAAGCAGCGCCATCTAGTGGTGAAAGAGTGAACAAGTAAAGATGANCGGGGGAGGGACGGAAAGATGCAGGGATGCAAAGGAGAGAGGAGGGGGCACGACCCAGAGATATAATATAGTGGTGATGGTGTCACAGAATAGACTGATAAAATCATTGTTTGCATTGTAGATGGAAAATAATTCTTAACAATAATAATAATAATAGTCACCTGGTCAAGGCAGTGCCAATAAAAAAAAACATTTTAAATTAAGTTATCAATGTTTTTTTTAATGCGCTGCTACTATGTTACTAATAATTCATATTGATTATTAATTTATTAATTTTTTTCAAATTTTGCCGGAAGGGTTTTTAATCTTTACGCATACAGGGTTCGTTCATAAGTAGCGATGGTTAAGGTGATGAAATGAAAATGCAACATTATCAGAAGTGTAGTAGTTTAAACTCACTTTTTTTTTTTCACCATACACTATAGAAGTCCACACTTTCCCCCAGGCATGAGCAACAGCGAAGCAGCGCCATCTAGTGGTGAAAGAGTGAACAAGTAAAGATGAGCGTGGTGCATTTCAGAGCAACGCTAAAATCAGAGCTTTGATATTGAGAATGTTTAATCAAAGTAAGTTAATAATGAAAAACAAACCAAAATAACGTTCCTATTATCTATAAGTGATTAATAAATAAATAAACAATTCAATTCAGTTTATTTATTTAGCACCAATTCATAAAACATGTCATCTCAAGGCACTTTACAGTTCACTAGATCACACAGTCAGATTGATTCAAAGTTTTCTATCTAAGGAAAACCAGTTGATTGCATCCACTCACTGACTCGAATGCAATCCCTCACACTAAGCATGCTTGTAGTGACAGTGGAGAGGAAAACTCCCTTTTAACAGGAAGAAACCTCCAGCAGAACCAGGCTCAGCGTGAGCGGCCATCTGCCGAGACGGACTGGGGTTCAAGGAGACAGAAGCAGAGATACAAAAAGCAGCTGTAAAAGGCGGCCCCGTCCAGGAAACACAGAGCCAGGCAGACAAGCTCCGAGCCAGCTCCCATGTCAGAAGATGAAGAGAGCACATCCAGCCAGTCACAATCCGAGAAACAGGACTAGACTGAAAAACAGGCAGATATTGAACATCTATAAACAAAGGTGTTGATTGCAGCAGCACAGCTGATATTTCTCTCCAGGATTGTGTCACAGCCAAACAGGAAAAGATGAGGCAAAGCTACTATGGGAAAAAGCAGAGAGAACATAACGTTAGAGATTGAACTAATAGATTCTGCAGAGTGAAAGAAATTAGATAGAATGAAGCAGAATGATGAAATAGGGGTCCCTATGTCCTCCAGAAGTCTAAGCCTATAGCAGCAGAACTATAGAGATAGCTCAGGATAACCTGTGCCACTCTAACTATAAGCTTTATCAAAAAGGAAGGTTTTAAGCCCACCCTTAAAAGTAGACAGGGCTTCTGCCTCACTGACTAAAACTGGTAGTTGGTTCCACAAGAGAGGAGCCTGATAACTCAAAGATCTGCCTTCCATTCTATTTTTAGAAATTCTAGGAACCACTAGTAAACCTGCAGATTGAGATATGATCTCTCTTTTTAATTTTCATCAGAAAACTGGCTGCAGCATTTTGGATCAGCTGAAGGCTTTTACTTACAGTTTTAGGACTCCCTGATAGTAAAGAATTACAATAGTCCAGCCTTGAAGTAACAAATGCATGGACTAGTTTCTCAGCATCACCCCTGGACAGGATATTTCTAATTTCTGCAATATTCCGCAGATGAAAGAAGTAAAATTTAGAAACCTCTTTGATATGGGATTTAAATGACAGGTCCTAATAAAAAAACAACACCAAAATTCTTTACTTTATTATCTGAGATCAGTTTAATCCCATCCAAAGGATGTGACTGACTAATCAGCTTCTTTTTCAAAGACTATCCAAAGACTATAACTTCTGTTCTGTCTGCATTCAGGAGCAAAAAAGTTAAGAGTCATCCAGGTTTTTATGTCTTTAAGACATGCCCGTGTCAACACAATAGATGCAAATTGAGTTCCTTTATTTTATAGATGAACAACTAAACTTGTTGAATTTTGTCCTTATAAAAATATACATCTGCTTTATTGTGCCTTTATTGTGCAGTTTTTTTTCTGTTAGAAATGACAGAGAATCCTGTTTTTAAGGATTTGGATTGTTTATTATTATTATTTTTTGTTTTTTTGTTGTTTTTCTTTAAAAATTTCTGGCTCACTTTACACGAGCATATTAATGAAAAAAAATATAACAAATTTCCGACATTGCATTATTGTTGTTAAATAAACACACGCTAAATGATGGTTCTTTATTTCTCTTGTTTGTAAAACATCCCTTTAATCGACAGTGATGGTTTGCATTAAAAGTAAATAATTTATATACTGGGTCTAATCCAAACCGATGCACATTCATCATTAACTACTCATCACACCTATTTCCAATTCATATTGGTAAAATCAGAAGAAGAAAAAATAATTTTGTATGACAAAAAACACAAATAAATCAAATGAAAATGTATGTATTATTTATAAAATGCTTTAATCTAAGCTATTCCTTTACTTGGAGTATGCTATTACGTTTGTACTGTGTGCACTGGGTGAAGATCTTAAGTTTAACTTTATTTCTAGGAATTAAAGTGAAAATATTTCACTTAAAAATGGATGTTGCCTCCAGATTTTTAGGTATACACGCTTCGCTTTGAAGTTAAGAGTACGTTGGACTATCACTTATAGATAACTACAATTCCCACCGGCCTTTGCGGTCTCCTATTTTACAAACGCAACACATTGGTCTCATGGTTTTAACCATACCATATAACGTATTTAGCTAGCTATCGCGGACTGACCCAAGCGAGTTGTTCACGCGTTTGAAATAACGCTCTTTTATGCAGAGACTAGCGTTTGATCACTGAAATAAGAAAAGAAATATATAACCCTTTAGAATCATCGCGTGATTTGGCGTTTCCGGGATTTAGAAGGGGTATGTGAGGAGAGCTGTCCGAGGTGCTGACAGAGATGCCTTTTTAGATTACGGAGCCTGCGGTAATTTTTCAGTTATTCTCTTCTGAAACAGAAAAACGATGTAATCTGTGTTTTTATGTCATGTTATATTTTTAGGAGAGGTCAGATTAAGTTTGGTTCATTCAGAACGACTAAGACCCGTGGTTGCTGGAATCTCCGATTTTCTAACTAGACAGAAGAGGCTTAAAATGTTTTAAATTCGCCAAACCAGGATACCAAAGTGTGAAATATAAATGCTTTATTTTTGTTGTACATTTATAAGCCATTTTGCATTGTGTCATGCTGTCATTAATTTCCTTTTTGTCAAATTTCAGGTTCTGGAAATATGAATAAACATCCAGAGCTGTGTTCAAGTTTGACTTTCTCTCACAGCAGCAGCATCCCTTCAGTTAGTAAACCCGGGGAAACCCCAGAAAGTAATGGGACCCCAGAGAGGCAGACGCAGCTGCGAGTGGCTGAGTCGCAGGGACTGCAGCTCCTTGATATGCTCAGATCATTCAGGGAGCAAGGTTTGCTGTTTGATTTCACCATCATAGTTCAGGATCATCAGTTCCCCTGTCACAGATGTGTTCTTGCAGCATGCAGTGATTTCTTCAGGTATGTATGCATGTATGTATGCATGTATGCATGTATGTATGTATGTGTGTATGTATGTATGTATGTATGTATGTATGTATGTATGTATGT